TTTGGAGAAGTCTTTGGAAGCACATAAAAATTTAATTTTTAGAAGGTCCCAATCATCTGGTTTCTCTTCTGCTGTTTTTGCATTTTGAATTATACTTGATAGTCTATTTATGTCATATATTAGGGCCCTTAAATTTGACTCTAAATTTTCCTTGAGGAACTGTATAGTTTTAGGTTTATGAAACTACTTTTAAATATAACAAAAACCATACTGAATTTTACTTCAGAATGCCATTTAATGCAAGGTTAGAGAGATTTAGAGCTACTCCTCATTAAATGGTTTTTTATGTTCTTTATTTTCAGTATGTTTAACATGGATAATTTTTTCACCCCTTGTGAAGAGGATAATTTTTATTGATGAAAGGTGGGAAATGATGGTTAGGACAGCAATTCTAGTTCAAGATCTTTGAGTATAGTATGCATTGTACAATAGGTAACACTTTCTCTTTTAATAATAATTCACTTTTCATGATATGTCTTATTTTTCTATCTATAAAATAGAAAGAAAAACAAAAACAACTCACTGCTGCCGAGTCAAATACGACTTCTCTGGAAATAGATTGCATTTGTCATCCTCCTGAGGAGTGTCTGTTGGGTTTGAACAGCCAGCCTTCTGGTTAGCAGTCAAAATGCCTTAGGCACTACACCACCAGAGCTCTATAAAATAGAGATAATGATAAATTTAGTTCATATATATAGTAATCCTGATTAGAGGAATACATTTAGAACAGTGGTGTTCAACATGGGGCAGTTTTGTCTTTCATAGGACACCTGGTAATGTCTGGAAACAGTTTTGGTTGTCACAACTAGGAGAGAGGATGCTACTGCCATCTGGTGGGTGGAGGCTAAACAATGTACAATCTACAATGCACAGAACTGCCCCCCAGAACAAAGAATTATGTGGTCAAGATTGAGAAACTCTGTGCTAACCACAAGGCTGGCGGTTCTCATCCACCAACCACTCCTTGGAAGGAAAGTTGGGCAATCTACTTCCATAGCAATACTGCCTTGGAAACCCAAGGAGGGGTCACTATGAGTTGAATCAGACTCATCAGCAATGAGTTTTTGTTTTTGTTTATTTTGTTCTAAATTAAAATCTGTTTCCTTTACTAAGTTGTTTTAAGCTGTAAACTTTGAGAACCACAGATACTGTTAGCATTCTGTCTGGCTTCTGAATCTATAAAAATGTTCCTTATTGACTTTTGACCTTGGGCATAACATTGTTTCATTTTTACAGAACACTAAAATGTTATAGCTGGAAAAAACCTTAGTGAACACCATCATTTTGCCAATAAGAAAACTGAGAAACAGATTCACAGACCCAGTTAGCATCACAGCCAAGAGTAGAACCTGCTTATAGCTCTATACCTTTATCACTTGGATGACTATGACTAAGTATGTGATTTAAGAAATGTGGCACTCTGGTAGCATAGTGCCTAAGGCACTTGACTGCTAACCAGTAGGCTGCTGGTACAAACCCACCAACCACTCTTTGGAAGGAAGGTTGGGCAATCTACTTCTGTAGTGATACCACCTTGGAAACTGAAGGAGGGGTCGCTGTGAATCGAGTCCGACTTGACAGCACATAACAACAACAACAACAACAGTGATAAAGTAGTGTGACTAGTTTTCTTCCTAAACATACAATATTTTGAAATCTGACTAAACCTTGTTTTCTTCCGAAAAGTCCTTTTGGGAGGCTATCACATGACTTCCTGTCTGTGATAATATCCCACCCACCTGCCTCAAAATAATAGGGCTACGCTCATGAATTGAAAAATTGAGTTGTTTTAGGATTCATCTTGCTAGTTGTCATGCCATTTATCATGGTCTTTCTTACCTTATGTATTCAGAGCTACCTGGACCTCAAATACAGAAGCAGGGAACTGATTACTAGCCCCTACCCCTCCTCCTTCTAGTTACCTTCTTTCCCATGATGTCCATGCCACTCTATTCAGGATAAACTTATTTTCTGTGGCACCATACATCTCCTAAAATTGTGGTAATAAACTCAAGAATAAATACTAAGTCAGTATAAATTTTCATTGCCTACTTGTTTTTCTCGGGAGCTCTGGTAGCATAGTGGCTAAGACACTTGCCTGCTAACCAGACGGCTGGCGGTTCAAACCCACCAGCCACTCCTCGGAAGGAAGGTTGGGCAATCCTACTTCCGTAGTGATACTGCCTTGGAA